TTTTATTTATTTGAGTATGATATAACAGCCGGAACCGAGTGAAAAAAAAAACTATACAACAAATGTCTATGACCTTGGAAAAGAGTTACTGATGTTTCACAAAGAAAGCACATAATGGAATTAAATTTCAGTGAATTTACTCAGCCCATATATGTAGCCATAGCTTTTATCGAAAAACTTTATGCAATTGTTTGGTTTTGATTTGATGCGGGCACTTATCATGTAAATGAAAATTTTTTTTGACATTCTTCGAAGCTTAATATGAGCTGTTTGTGGATTTATAATAGGTTGAAAATTATTATCAAGTTCCTATCATTTCCCCCTCATGTTGCTAAAAACTAGAGTCATTTTATGACAGTCGATCATAGCTACACTTCTGGGTAAACCTACAACATGCAGAATCTATGCAGTTAATTTTTAAAAATCAATCTTTTTAAATCCTAATTTAGCCATAAGATCTAGCACACCGAACAAAATAAAGTCAACTTCCAAATGCAGAATATAAATTAATAGGTCATAGTTTCCTGCAGTTAGATCTTTTGAATGAACAGCTTACCGAATATAGGTCATTATAATCAGAAACTATCAATATTTTGGCAATGCAACGATGCTTAGATTGCCAGATATTCTTTTTATCCAAAAACGTTGTATTTCCTGTGTTTTTATTGCTTAAAATGAAAGATGCATGAATCTGCATGGATATTAACTTCATTCTAGATCTGTTAATTTGTAGTTTCCATCAAACTTACTTGCTATTGTGTGGCAAATGCTTTGGCTACCTGCTTGATATCCTAGTAACTTTACAACTTACATCTTTACTTTATCAGTCGTGTTTTTAAATTTTGGTCCATAGCTTCTTTAATTTTGTGTCTCTACCACCTGCCAATGATCAATTCGAGCAGATATAGGCTTCAATACATACTCAGAGCAATAAAAATCCTTATTGACCATTTAAATGCGCTTTAATCGTATTCCTCAATAATTTCCCAACTTGTTCCTTTTTGTCACATGGAACAAGAACTTCTGTTTTTAAAAAGCATGAAAACTGCTGCATAGAATTTTAAGCTTTCATGTTGACGCACTATACTCTCTTTTTTTGCTGCTTTCTTTTTCAACTCTCTTTCTTTCCCTTCCTTCCTTTATATCGTAGAATGTCGATTGTGTGGATGGAACAAAAGCATGCTTACTCATTTCACAATCTACCAATTGCTTGTGTGCGAAAAATAGTTTTTCTGGTCATTGACATCAAGAGTGTGGAGAGCTCGACCTTGACGTACGGAAGAAATATGGGTCATAATGATCATGAATGCATAAGAGTCGCAGCAGTATAATCGGAAAGGAATGTTGTCCACTCGTGTAATTAAAAAAGCAATTTCACACCTCGAAAAAAAGAGCAAATCCGCAAACCACAAAAAAAGGGGAATAAAATAAATTTCATTACAGCATTGCGGAACTAAATTCATTGGGAAATTGGTCTCTCTCTTTCCATATTTTTTTTTTCGTATGTAGTTGACACCATTTATTTTATTTTTTCAATATTTATGAATTTACGAGTGTTTCGATGTTTTGTTTTTATGAGCCTATCTGCATTAATATGTCGTGAGTTGTGTTTGCGTTTTGTCCATCCGGCTGGCTTAATAAGAAATGTCATGACAAATGATTCTTATAGATAAGTAGAGTTTTTGTAATGAATACTGCACCTAACCTAGTACCGAATACTAGACTCAACTCTAGTACTGAATATTAGACTCAACTTCTAGTACTGAATACTAGACTTAACCCTAGTACTGAAAATTAGACTCAACTTCTAGTACAGAATACTAAACTCAACTCTAGTATTGAAAACTAGACTACCTCTAGTACTGAAAACTAGACTCAACCTCTAGTAATGAATACTAGACTCAACTCTAGTACTGAAAACTAGACTCAACCTCTAGTACTGAAATTTAGACTCTACCTCTAGTACTGAATACTAAACTCAACCCTAGTCCTGAAATCTAGACTCAACCTCTAGTACTGAAAACTAGATTCAACTCTAGTACTGAATTTTAGTCTCTACCTCTAGTATTGAATACTAAACTCAACCCTAGTATTGAAAACTAGACTCAACCTCTAGTACTGAAAACTAGACTCAACCTCTAGTACTGAATTTTAGACTCTACCTCTAGTACTGAAAACTAGACTCAACCTCTAGTACTGAAAACTAGACTTAACCTCTAGTACTGCATACAAGACTCAACTTTAGTACTGAAAATTAGACTCAACCTCTAGTACTGAATTTTAGACTCTACCTCTAGTACTGAATACTTAACTCAACCCTAGTACTGAAAACTAGACTCAACCTCTAGTACTGAAAACTAGACTCAACCTCTAGTACTGAATTTTAGACTCTACCTCTAGTACTGAATACTAAACTCAACTCTAGTACTGAAAACTAGACTCAACCTCTAGTACTGAATACTAGACTCAACCTCTAGTACTGTATTTTAGACTCAACCTCTAGTACTGAATTTTAGACTCTACCTCTAGTACTGAATACTAAACTCAACTCTAGTACTGAATTTTAGACTCTACCTCTAGTACTGAATACTAAACTCAACCCTAGTACTGAAAACTAGACTCAACCTCTAGTACTGAATTTTAGACTCTACCTCTAGTATTGAATACTAAACTCAACCCTAGTACTGAAAACTAGACTCAAAATCTAGTACTGAAAACTAGACTCAACCTCTAGTACTGTATTTTAGACTCTACCTCTAGTACTGAATACTAAACTCAACCCTAGTACTGAAAACTAGACTCAACCTCTAGTACTGAAAACTAGACTCAACCTCTAATACTGAAAACTAGACTCAACCTCTAGTACTGATTACTAGACTCAACCTCTAGTACTGAAAACTAGACTCAACCTCTAGGACTGAAAACTAGACTCAACCTCTAGTACTGAAAACTAGACTTAACCCCTAGTACTGAATGCTAGACTCAACCCTAGTATTGAATACTAGACTCAACCTCTAGTACTGAAAAGTAGACTCAACCCTTGTACTGAATACTAGACTCAACCCTAGTCCTGAATACTAGATTCAACCTCTAGTACTGAATACTAGACTCAATCCTAGTACTAAATACTAGACTCAACCCTAATACCGAATACTAGAATCATCCCTAGAACTAAAAGCTAGGCTCAACCCCTAGTACTGAATTCTAAATCTGAACCTAGTCCTGAGCTTCAAGTTTCCAACTAAACAAGACTTAGAAACGATAGTTCAAATGCTCTGAATTGAGGAATGTCTCAAAAATCCTGAAGAATGCGCTATAGAGTCGCCTATTTCAATCTTCATAACTACAATTCGCGTCTCTGCAACAAGACAACGTCGATTATGTAATGATACATACATAAAAATTATAATCACATAATAAATTTTTGCGTTCTTTACGTGCTTATGTATGAGATCATTTATGATAGTATAAAAAATATACATAATGATTATAAAAAAAAGTACGGAATACATTGAAACGAGTGATAGTGTAATAAATGTACGTAATATTTATACATGATATGAATACGCACGTATATAATTATTTTCATTTTTTTGTAGCCAAAATCATTAAAGTGAATAAATTTTTTATTGCTCAATTATTCATGATTCGGCATTTGTGGGATGAAAACTATTTGTTCGAGGAATAGATTAGAACGGATGATGTCTTCATCGGCCGTGATATTTAATGCTGGTCGGTGGGACTTTTCGTCCGTTTTGGCTAATTTCTGTAATCACCAAAAAAAAGTCTTTTGTGTTGGGTCAGCTTTTTAGAGAACAATGTGGTGCTTTTTGGATGAATGAAACAGCTTTGAATTATAATGGAATTGACAGTTAAGAGGATATATTGTAAGTATTTATCGTTTTGATCACTCTTGTGACTTTAAATATTGAACATTTTGATCACTCTTGTGACTTTAAATATTGAACATTTTGATGGAATCAGTCAAATATTTTGATTTTATGGATTTGTTTTTAATTTAGAAACTTTTAGAGATGGACTGGATTGGTAAATTACTTAGAAAATATCAAAGATGCTCATATTTTTCTGACAATACAATGAAACTTAGGATTACTCTCAAATTCCAAAAATCTTTTAAAAAAATCAGCGATTTCTGCTAAAGCTGCTAAGAACATCATTTCCTGACTCAAAAATGAAAGAGTTTTAAAGACATGATAAACTTTAACTCTGAATAATTGAAGAACGATTGATTTAGATTTAGTGGCTCCGAATCCCGAGCTAGTCCAGGATAGCTTTAAGCCAATCAACCAGTAACATTTATTCATAACTTAATTCTGATTCTTAAGTTATAAAGTTGACAAAATGAGATTATGATAACCATAACTTCCGATATCTCAATCCTAATCTGAAATCGTAAGATGTTGAATCAAGTTATATTCGGGATCTTTTGCTTAGATTTATACTATTTTTTTGTAGTTTGTCAACTTAACTAATTGAGCCATTAATTCTTTGCCAACCCCAATTAAACTGAATCTATTAAGAATTAAGTCTTTCAATTTTGAAAATCTATTTCATTTTTTACAGATTGAAATATTTAAGAAGTGGCAAAAAGTACTCCAAAAGTTGATCAAAAGACAGTAAATTTGTCAAGGCTCCCGAAGATTATAGTCTTTTAAATGCGAAGATTATAATCATTTATGAAGAATATAATCTTCAAAACAGAAAAGATTATAATCTTTCATACAAAGATTATTGAAGATTATATATGTTTGTATGGGATTATTAAAAGATTATAAATCTGCGCGAGTCTTGATTATTGTTCCATCATTAAACATTTTGATAATAATTTTGCCAAATTTTTAAATATCAATTAAAATATGAAATGCACAACTAATCAATAAAATAAAATAAAACTGTAAAATTAGAATTGATCGTAAATAATCCTGCATTATTATTGCAAGATTTACTGATAAAATTTTATAATTATTTATTTTCTAGCATAGCTGTACATAGAATTATTATTATGTTAAAAATCATAAATTTTGTGAAATAAAAATAAACGAATTAGAATTCAATAAAAATTTGTTAATTAATTTTTCTTTCAGTCAAGCACATTTTCCTACTCATTAAATTAGCTGGTAGCTTCATCTTTGAGCACAATTCCCAATTTAAATAAATGTCTGCAGTTCCATCAAGAAGCTTAATATCGCGTGAAACACGCTGTGTACAATTGTAATTGATTTCCTCTTGAAACTCAAACAGTAAAGGATAATCTGGATGATCCTTTAAATACAGTGTATCAATGCATAAATTCCCTCTTAAATCAATAAATCCAATGTCTTTAAATCGCTCAAAATTAGCCTTAATGTCTTTAATTCGATTATGATCAAACAGCATTTCCTGCAATTCCAGATTCGTCGATAAAATTTCATCATCAAAAATTGTTATTTCATTATCGCTCACATCAATGTAGCGTAAATTGTGTAAGTTTATGAATGCATTTGGTGGAAGTCGCTTCAAAAAGTTTCCGCTTAACGAGAGTATTTCAAGATTAAACAAGTCTAAAAATACATCGTTTGGTAATGTCTCTATTTCATTATAACGAACATCTAATGTGTGTAAATCCATCATGTTGATAAAGTTTCTGCGATTTATGAATTTTAAGCGTGAACTCGGGACATATAGATGAAGCAAGTTTGGGAAGAAATTTCCAATTCCATTTGGTAAGAATCTTGATTTTGAAAATATATTGCGGAATAAGATGACATTGTGATTCTCCATTGATTCTTTATGTTCGCCGGCAACAGATGTGATGTAAGTATTGTCTGTCGTGACACGTAAATTGAAACTTTCGCATGTGTAGAATTTCCTTCCAGGAGTCTCAACTGATAAGCTAGATTTAATTGAAATTTAATGGGTTAAAACATTTTAAAAGAGATTAAATTTGAGAGCTGAATTCAGCAAAATAAGCAACAAAAGTCAAAAGCTGAATTCAGCAAAATAAGCAACAAAATTTGAACGCTGAATTCAAAAAAATAAGCAACAAAAGTCAAAAGCTGAATTCAGCAAAATAAGCAACAAAAGTCAAACGTTGAATTCAGCAAAATAAGCAACAAAATTTGAACGCTGAATTCAACAAAAATTCAAAAAATGTCAGTTAATAATTCAGCTAAAGTTTCAAATTTAAATTTTCCGTTAATTTAAAAAAAAATCATAAATTCCTTACTAATCTGAGACATTTCCAAATTTGCACTCCAGCTCAAGATCCCTCAATTCCGAATGTCTTTCTGCTTCAATATTTATTATCCGTGCCTTCTCAGAAAACTGTCTGACACTGTAAATTGGCACTGCTTTTGTAAAATTTTCATACTTCGATGACTTAAAATTATCCACAAGACTTTCGACTTCCTTTAGTGTAATTGAAGATGTGTCAGGATTTTGTGTAACGAATATTTCAGTCACGTTTTCTATTTTTAAATCAGACAATTCCAATGGCAAAGTTCCATTTGTCTCGACAGTTGTGCTAGGTTGTCTTCCATACTTTCGATTCCTTCGAATTCTAACACATTGGATTGAGTTAGCGATAATTATCAGAATTATAAAATAATTAATCAATCGCATGTTTTTTTCACACTCAAGGCTGCGTCTAAATCAAATCACTTGGCAATGACAACTACTCAATGATATCAGATGAAAAGTCTTATTTTGCATGACTGGAAAATTTACTTATTACTCTATCAGGTACACTACATTTCAGGTTTTTCTTCTCATCTCCGCAAGATCGATCTCCACAAGAGAGTAAATAAGCATCAATCAATTTATGGACGAAACAAATCAAAATATTGAAAAACTTCATAATTTTTTTCTTTCTTTATTGATGAATCACATGCCTGACTGGCCTCAAAACGCGTGTAAAGTTTTTTTTGCCAAAAATAAAAATTGCACAAAAAGATATGATGTAATATAATGACAAGTCTAAATGCTTCAAGCCGGAACCTTTTTTCTATCCGGCTTTCACATTTATTATTACATAAACTTGCGTAGCTTCAATGAAAGTTGAGTAATTCATTCATTCACTTTTTTTTATTCACCATACATGTCCAATGCATGAAGTAATAAAGAGTGCAGAGTAATTAAGTAGGAAGCAGTAATAGGGAGGCAAGTGATATTTCAGGTATCATCAACATTATGTTGATGTTTAACGTATTCCTGAAATTTAAATTTTATGCAAAGTTTGAACTCTAGTCCGTTTAAATTTAAATTCTACAAAACCGGTAAAATTTAAATCATACAAAACCGTTATGAAGCAATTAATTTAAGGCCAAAACACAAAATTTATATCTTAATTAGATTGAATTTCGAATTCTTTATTCTTTTGCGTTCGTTCAAATAATTATGCTTTACAGATTATGTCAGTTTAAGGCTATTAAACAATTAGTTCCTTTAGTGACCTCACTCAAACTCATTTTAAATAAATATTCTAATAGGCTCCTCCTGAATTTATAGCATCAACTTCTTTGGAATCGATAGGTCGTCGTCGGTAACGTGCTGCAAGCTGCCAATCTTCTATTGCTGGAGCTTTAACTTTTGCCTTTAAAAATATACAAAAAAGAGGAGATGAATCATGTGAGATGAACATGTACAATTGTTTTCGTACGCTTAAACGTGTTACATCTATATATCATCTATATTTAACTAAAGATACAGCCTATGAATAACTGTTATTCAAATTTTAAAAGAAAATTTTTGCGGTGTATTACATAAAATTTCCTTTTTTCCATTTTGACACTTAATTAATGATAAAACTATTACTGGATCATGTGATAACTACTTAATTATACTTACAGATGATGTTTTGACTGTTTGCTGTGCTGCTATTATTGTTTGAACTGGTTCAGCTTTATGAATTGGATGAGCTCGAAATTGAATCATTGGAAGTCTTTTAACGACATTTCTGACTTGAGACAACAGTACCATAGCGATTGAGAATTCTTAATCTGTTTGTGAAAGCTTTAAATACAATATAATTAACGTTTTAACTGCAAATTTAAGTTTATTTGTATTACAAAAATTTTGCTTTGATCAAAATAGGGTAAAATCAACTGAAACTCGTCTAATTACTTGCAGAAATTTAAATTTTTTAAATACGTTATTTTCATTGTTTCAAAATCGTTGATTGTTTTACTGTGTTTTACATGAAATCAAAATCACCAGATTTCTCATAATCGCAAATATCCAGCGCCACTTCACAACTCTCTTTAACTACACGTTTCTCATCTTTTAAATATTTTGTAAGAACTTCAACACATTCTTCATTAGCTATGGCTCCAAGTGCTTCAGCACATTCATGTCTGACCATTTCATTCTCTAATGGATCTTCCAAGTTCTCAATAAGATAAGGAATTGAGTTTTCATCTTGTAACTGCCCGAGTACGAATGCTACTTCATGTCTAAATAATGCACTGCTATCCTTTAATCCAGAAGCTATAGCTAAGACTGCTTCCTTCGTCCTCAAATTCCTTAAGCTGAACATTGCTCTGTATCTCTTAAAAAGACTTTCTTTATCGTCCATAAGAACATTCTGTAGCTCAGTAACCGTTTGTTTATTAGCCATTGGTGGTGATGGGTCAACAGATGCATATGGATTATTGTCATCAAGCTTTTCCTGCTCTTGCATCCATTTTACACGATCCAGTGCAATTTGACAAGTTTCTGCGACCTCAACAATTGGATCTTTGGAATATTTCTCGAGTAAATCAATGACACTTGGACATCCAATAGCTCCTAATGCCTCGCCTGCTTCATGTCTGACCATTGGTGCTTGATTGACATCCTCCAATACTTTAATTAATGCTGGAATTGCTCGTGTATCCTTCATTTGACCAAGACAATATGCCAATTCATGTTTTAAGAGATCCGAGTCATCCACAAATGCTTCCTCAATACACTTTATAGCTATCGGACCTAGAATTCATCTGTAATTATTGATTGTTATTATGAAATTGAATTCTTTGTTTACCTTTAATATTTTTAAGCGTAAATAAAGCTCGAAATCGCTCTTTCATCGGTCGATTTGGGTCGTTAAGTATCTTTCCAACATTCTCAACTCGTTCGTCTGTAGCTGAAGGCATTATTAGCTATATATTTAATTAATTTCTTTGATTTTGAAAAAATCCACGAATCAAAATAATAAAATGTGTTGAAATTTAAGTACGCTTTCTTAGTATACTTTTCGGTATTTTGTAAATTATGATAATTAGACAGTGATTACGATAGCGGTTTATAGACCAAACTTTAGCTTGAGACTTAATAAATAAGAATGCGTTTAATTAACGCGTTAAATTTTGATTAATATGCAGAAAAAGTGAAATAAGTGAAATAAAAAAGTTTAACGTTTAAAATAAATTTGAAATTTTCATCCAGTTCTGCTCAAACTTTTTTGAACCGATTCAAAAACCTGTTAAAATTGATGAAACTGTAACCTTTTTCAAACGTGAAAAAGCCGTTTACTTAAGAAACATTTACATAAATCAGGTAAATCACAGAAATCTTAAATGTGCTCCAAAATGAATGTTCGTTGAGCATAGCTGAGCAGCCCTGCCGTAACCGATTGATGTGTAACCGATTACATTTAGCCACTGACGTGTTTTTAATAGAGAAAAAAAGAGTCTTGAAATAAGTTTGGATTTATTTATTTAATTATACTATAAGTAGTCAGTCACAACACACCAACAGACCACAAAATGGTTCGTCATAAATTCCTCCTCAGCATCATATTACAGATAGCTCTATTATCAGTGATTGCTAGCGCAAATAGGGATTTTTATAAAATTTTGGGTGTCACAAAATCAGCGACAAAAAATGAGATCAAAAAAGCATATAGGAATCAAGCTAAAACAATGCATCCCGATAAGAATAAAGACGATCCAAATGCTAGTGAGAAATTTGCAGACTTGTCAGCTGCTTATGAGATTTTAAGTGATGATGATAAGCGCAAATTGTACGATAGATGTGGAGAAGGTAATACTTTAAAGGCATAGAATTTCATCATGACTAATCTTGTTAATATTCCAGAATGTGTAAAGAAGGAAGGGATGTTTGATAACAATGGAATGGATCCGTTTGCTAGCTTCTTTGGTGATTTTGGATTCAATTTTGGTGGAAATGATCAAAGACAGGAAGTCCATAAAGGAGCTAATATCGTTATTGATCTTTATGCATCATTAGAAGAAATGTATACAGGAAATTTCGTGGAGGTAATTAGTGTTTATAGCATGACGTGTACCTTATCGATACTCAAAAAACGTCTATTTAATAATTTATAGATAACAAGAAACAAGCCAGTATTGAAGCCTGCATCAGGAACCAGAAAATGTAATTGTCGACAAGAAATGGTTACGAGAAACTTGGGTCCTGGACGATTCCAAATGATGCAACAGACTGTCTGTGATGAATGTCCAAATATTAAGCTTGTAAATGAGGAAAAGCTTCTTGAAGTTGAGATTGAAACTGGTGTTCAAGATGGACATGAGCAGAAGTTTGTAGCCGAAGGAGAACCTCATATGGATGGTGAACCTGGTGATTTAATACTTAAAATTAAGCAAATGCCACATCCAAAGTTCGAGAGGAGAGGCGATGATTTATACACAAACGTAACAATTAGTCTACAAGATGCTCTCATTGGATTCTCAATGGAAATCGTACATCTTGATGGACACAAAGTGTCAATTGTCAGGGAAAAAGTAACATGGCCTGGTGCCAGAATCCGAAAGAAGGGTGAAGGAATGCCTAGCTTTGAAAATAATAATCTTTTTGGGACACTTTATATTACATTCGATGTGGAATTCCCAAAACAAGATTTCACAGATGAACAGAAGGAGAAGATCAAAGAGATATTAGTACAAGAGTCGAACAACAAAGTTTATAACGGAATTCGGATGTAAATTGTGTTCTATGACTAGTGAAATAATTTCTTGAGACTTATAAATAAAATAATAAGTATAAAAAAATACCAAAAATATATTGATTTTCGTTTAAGTTTGTTGAACTTTCATTATTTTCTTATTGGATTTATTTTTTTAAAGAGTTCGTCTTGTTTTGCTGTTGAAAGGTTTGTGAGCATTTTATTGACTGTTGTAGTGTTTTGAATAAGTATTTAAATTCGAAAATTTAAATAAAACCATCCAACAGCAATTCAAAAATCCATTAAAACCATGCAACAGCAATTCAAAAAATTCGTTAAAACCATACAACAGCGATTTAAATTGACAATTAAAACATTTCAACAGAGATTTAAAAAAATCAGTGAAATCCTTACAAGAGCAATTAAATTCAAATTCAAAATATCCGGTAAATTTTCACAAAATTCTTTATATTAAATTTATTTCCAACAGCTATGCTTATTCTCCTTCATAAGGACGTACATTAATCACAACTTTTTTAATATTTAACTTTTTGCGTGACTCAAAAAAACAAAAATTACATTTCATTCAGTTCCATTCTCATTAATTAATCGCTTAAAATTATTCAACTTTTCTAGCTCCGTAATTGTAAGAGCAACCTCGTTGACTCTCAGGAACTTTCCCAAATTTTTCGAAAATGATTGATCAGAATTCTTAATTATTAATGCAACACAATCAAGGACTGACAAACGATTCATGTCATCGGCATTTTCATCATTGATGCTACGAGAAAATCTTTCTAAAATTATTGAGCATATTAAGCCATACGAGACATTCCGTTCCTTATAATCCGAATACATTGTTCTCATAAATTCATCAAAAGCATGAAAGAATGACTTGAAAGCATCCATACTGTTCATCGCTGCTATATTAAGGATGGCAAAAGCAACAGACTTTTCGAAAATTGTCTTTTTCATGCCAATTGCATGCGTCATAATAATTTCAATTTCAGCTTTGTAAGAGCTTTTATGATTGTAGTGCCGTAAAAATGCTTCCCATGATGTTGTGCTAGGTAAATTAATAAAGTTCTTGTAAAGCATGACAAAGTTCTGCATTAACATTTGTTGGTAAAAGCTTGCATCCTCAATTTCCGGGAATAAATTACTTTCAACAGCATCAACTAGCTGAATAAAGTCCTCCTTTGATAATGGAATTGTGAACTTTTCAAAGAACTGATTTTTGACTTTTTCGAGTATTCTAGGCTGGAACAAGACGTGCAAGTCTATTTGACTACACAACAGCAAGCAATTATCTGGAATTGAATTTTTTGTGCTTTTTAATGCAGCCATGATTTGAAGCTGAATATTTCGAGTTTCCTTAATGAATTTATCCTCATCAATTAGCAGTGGCTTATTTGAAACTAATAACATCCAAAAGTGCTTAATTACGTTAACATAAAATCGTTGGAACTGAGGAAAGTGATTATAGCTTCGATTCGTGCAGAACTTTTGACAAAATGTGTACAAATCAGTCATTGAATTTTCATTTAAAATTCTCCATGATTTACATTCTAAAATTGCTGAAATTTTTGGCACAAACTTTTCACGTTCCGTAAATTCGACATTTTCGAGACTCAATAAAATTTTGAATAATCCATTGAAGATATCTCGAACTCTCAGCAGCATAGTCAATGGCTCGATTCTATAAAGCTTTCTTAGAGCACGAACAATAAGACTTAAGGTAATTGGCTTGTTAAAATCGAGGAATGCATTGCTTATCATTGGCATAAGCTGTTGTGTAAGATAATTGACATCTTCTTTAAGGAATGCGACCAACATTTCATCATCTATGGCAATAAGTGTCTGTAGCAGCATAACAAATGTTGTTTCATCAGATCTACACAAGTTCATTGTATTTATTAAAGATTCCAGTGTCTCATTGTTCATTTCACACAGTTCTAATGTCGCATTGAATATTTCAGCAGCACGACTTGAAATTACTGGCTCTTTGATATTCTCAGTTATAAATTTGAGTATAGACTCTTGATTAACTTCAATAACTGGCTGTATTGATGTAAGAATCAATTTTAAGTCCATATCATCGTCTGTGCAGTAATTAAGCATATATATGAGTTCTTTCCAGAAATCGTAGCCTAATTCGACCATCAAAGCTGCTGTTTCTGACACTGTTTTGGGGCTTTTTGAGAATACATTTAAAAATACTTCAATCTTGTTATTTGTTGTGAGAATTTGATGCTCTTCCTTGAATTTTCCTATTTCCTTTAAGCATCCAATGACTTCAAGTCGGAGATTTTTGTAATTAATAAGCTTAATGATGATGTTTACGATATTTTCTTGATTGTTGATAGTTGTGAATAGAAAGTTCTTCATGACTTCATCAAGTGAGGCTATTTTGCATAATTCAGCGATGCTGTTGATGGCTAGTGCCAAAATTTGACGTTGCTGAATAAGAAACAAATTGAATTAAAGACAGAGAATTAAGGGCAATTCTTTGGATGAGTGGAAATTGAAAATTCCGATTTCTGTCATCGAGTTATTGACTAGAGAATCCAAATAACTTAATTAGCGATTAAAAGGATTTGATATAAAAAGTATTATGCATTTTAGATCTTTACATCGATAAGAATCATAAAATCAGTGTCTCTGATAAGAAAAATTAATAAAATTTATATTTTTTGCTGAAAATTTTCAAAAATTCAACGAAAGAGTCGCCCGAAACAGAATTACAATAATCAACTTACATCATAAATCAGCATCGCTCGGAAGTGGTTTAAATACATGGAATTACTAAGCAATTGTTCGTGAAATTGAGTTAAAGTTTCTGTGTATTCCTTTGCGCAAATTAGAAAGTATTTCTCGTACTCGAAGGCACTTGAAATGTTGTTCATGATTCTCTCAATTGATCTGGATACTGCTGTTCTTGTTTCATCAGTTAATTCCATTAATGGATTACTTGAGCATGCCAGAAGTTTAGTTAACGGATACAGCATACAAGTCAGCAATAAGTATGCATTTCCTTTCATTTTTGATTCCTTTGGAATGTTTGGATGTTCAGTAGCACTTGCTAGGAATGTTATCCAGTTACTGATGACTAAATCATCCAGCAGATCAGCAACAAATAGTTCGTTGAGTAACAAATTTATGAATTGCTTCATTTTCCCGACTTGCTCGCTCATGTCCTCGTCTGAGTCACGCTGAAAGTACAATCTTTATTAAAGATCCAGTGAACAACTTCCAGTAACTTACTTCTTCATAAATTTGGGTCATTAAATCTTCAAAATCTATTGTTGATTCCTTTATCTGATCATAATGTTCCTCTGTAAATGTGAATTCCTTGCCGAAGACATCAATAAAGTACTGAAATATCATCATATCAGTTTCTTTCCAATTTTTTGATGCATTTTTGAGAATTTTTTTTGAGCAAGACTGAAATTTTGTAAAAATTAATGTTTATTCAATGAAATTTGATTTGTTTCTTACCGTAGCGTCATGCTGAAACAGCAAATTTAATATAGACTCCATTTTTATGTTAAATTAAGCTCTTTAAACCATACTTTTTAATTAAATTAATATTTTCAAAACTTTTCGCGCCAATTTTATTGATCTTTTTCTCAACGCTTTTCTGAAGTTCAAATTAAGTCTGACTAGAAATTTAAAACCTGTGGATTTAAATTCAAAAAATTCTGTAGCAGAAATTATAAAAATTAATTAAAGCACAAATGCAAAGTTTAAAACTATTTGAAACTTTTTCATCTTAAATCATATAATCCAGTAAAGAAAACTTATTTCCAAGAGATTCGTTCCTCGTAAAACTTAATGACATCTTGCGTATAAGCAAAATTAGCAATCTTTGAAGACATTAAGGTACATTCATCAGTTCCTTTCCATTTTATAACGAAGATAATGTCATCACCGTCCTTAAAGGCTCCAACAATCTTTTCAATATGTTCACTTCTTTTTGGCAATTCAAATTTAGCTCGTTCCTCTTCAAAAGCCTGAATCAATTCGGGGCAGTTAAGATTTTCCGTTGGTTCCCATGTATTTTCTGAATCAGAGAAGCCTTTCCATTTAAGGAAATATTCAATCTATAAAGAAATATAATTAATTTAAAGCCTATTTTAAAAAAATAGATAATTAACGTACTCTCCCATTTTTAATTCTTCTCTTTAGGATTTTCTCGACAATAAATTCACCTTCCAATTCTGGTACACTTTCTGTATCAGTCATTTTGTACCTGTAAAGTGAATATTTTAAGCAAAATTTCTATTCTGGATCTTAGAAAATTTTACTGGATCTTTTGTGAACTCGAGATTTCTTAAATTTAAGCCATTTTAAAACTAATAGTGACTTTGTAATGTCGTAAACAATTTTGTTCATGATATAAATATGCTTAAAGCTTACCTTATTGTAAATGATTGTTTTAATTAAGAATTAAATCTATTTGACTTTTGAGTGTCGAAAATGCCTTCAAAAAAATTGATTGATTTTTAACGGAATTTCAGAATTTAAAAATGATCAAAATTATTTTTGACTTGATTTGAATTTTTTGTACAACGGCAAAAATCGAGCAAAATTAAAGTTTTCCTTTGATTATTTTACCATATTTAATGCATTTTTTTCAGTTATGGCGGTAAAGCATTAGTGAGAACGCAATTCCAAAGTGTAATTATGACGTCAAAAGAACTGAATTTTCTTTAATCTATTCCAATTAAAACTTTAGTACTCTGCATGCTTACCATTTAATGCACATTTAACTTCAAAAGAAAGAGAGAAAAGAATCCTTTTAAATAGATTTGATTATGTTTAATAATTTATGAGAGAAACATAAAAGCATGAAAGCCAAACAATTGGTTAATGCATGTACATGCATGCACTGATGATGACATGATGCATATTTCATTCATAGAAATTACAATTCATTTTTTATTACATCCAAACTGACATAAAATCATATCCATAAAGAAATTAAAGAGAGTCAAAGGATTATCGCATCTTATTTGTGATGATGGCACTGGCATTGACTTTGTAGAAGTCTTGAACTATTGAGAATCTAGCAACAAAATTCTATAAAATTCTTTATTGTTCAGTACAAAAAAATTGTTCTATTTTTTATTGAATGGAACTAGAAGATGACTTAGACATGACTCGATAAGGAATTCTTAAATGCTTTAAGATGAAAATGAGACTGCTTTAAAAATATAAAATTAACAGTCGAAAAACATTTAAACAATAACGGTTATATAAGTTTTGAAATTGAACTTAATAATAAAAAAATAATGATTTTCTTTAAAATATAAATGACAGTTAAAAAAATATATACTTTTGAATTCAAAATTCCAATCGTTAAAATATCAAAAGAATGCGTTTAATCTTACAAAGCAATTCCAAACGAATTATTCCAAAAAAAACTTCTTATTGTTTTATTATTCCTCATTGCTTTTCTGCTTGGAGGCACTTTTTTCGTCTATTACAGCAGAAAAAAAAGAACTACAATTTAATTTTATTATATAGCGATAAAATACAAAGAACATAAGCGAAAAAAAAACTGGTTAAGACATAAAAAAGTTGGAAATTTTCGTCTTATTTTTCTGTGGATAAAAAGAGTGAATTAATATAAAAGTTGTTGGTAAGGAAAATATTGGAAACAGATGAGCATTTTTTTGATTCTGAATTGCCAACATAATTTGTTAAATTTTTAACGGATGTTTGAGATTTGAATTTAGTCTTGTAGAAACAATACAAATGTTGTAATATCATTTAAACACTACAAATGCAAAGAATGACGACCAAAACTTTGCAAATGTATAGCAAAAACCATTCAAATGTTTACTGATTCGGAATCAAAACCATACAACAGCAAAAATTTCAATAAATGTTTGGGAACGTTACAAATTCATAAATATTCAAAACTATACAAATGTTTTTGGTATGAGCCAAAAGATAACCATTTTATCACATTTTACTCTTAAAAAGCTCTTGAAATAGTTGAAGAGTGAAAGAAGTAAAACAACAGGATTTGAAAGATTTCGCGAACTCAAAAATATAGTGCTGCATGAACAGATGTACTCATCCCTATACGTGTATATAAAATTAAATTTTTTATGAACGTTTCCTTTGCCTATGGCAAAGTTCTACTTTCTCAAAAGCATAAAACTTTATTTATACCTCATGCGGTTCGAAATTGAGATTCTTCAGTTCTTTTTTATTTGCTTAAAAAATTCTTTTTTTGATGCCGCAGATTCAGATTCTTGTTATGAACAATTTAAGTGACATAAAAATGATTTAAATGTGTTTATTTTTTGAAGCATAACAATGAAGCTTTTTTGACGGTGAAAAACTTTTTTTTTCATTCTTTGCTCTGGAAAAATTCGCACAAAAGAAATGAAAACATTTTTGTTCATAATGAAATGTGTTTAATCCCTTTTCGTGGGAAGATGAACCTTTAATGAACGAATTAAACAAAAAACTAGCTGAACAAACTTTTTTCATTAATTTAAAAACACAAAAAATTGGGATGCAACGGAAAAATATTCATGCAAGCTAAGAATTTGGTACAGTAGTTTAGTGGTTAAATTATGAGCACAAATGGATCTTTTAATTATAACCAAAAAAATTGAAGGTTAGAATTGTAACGTCACTGATGAAACAGTAAGCTGCAGTAAAACTCAGAGCAACAAGACCTGTATTTAAGGTTTCAGGGCAACCTTTTATTTAGCATAATCTCACCTGAAATAAAATTCAAAAGAAATTTAAAATTCACTCAAAATTAAGTTTTCCATTTCCAAGTCAGCCTTACCTTCATTAGCTTTCAAAATTAAACAAATGGATGAATGAGCTTAATTTGTGCATTCATAACAAAAGTAATTTTCCGACAATAATTTCTACATCTAGTGTTTAACAGAAAATGCTTTCATCAATGTCAATTACAGACAGCTATTTTGCATGCAAAAAAAAAGTTAAGCTTGCACTTAAAACAATAGAAATGAAGGAAGAACTGAGCATATTCTATAAAAAATTCTGCTTTTCTTAATTAGAGAATAAATAACTGGCTGAAATCAGCGAATGAAAAGTTTTCAGCACAAAAGAGTAACAATGTGAACGGACAGGAATTTAACAAGTTGTGCAGTAGCAAAAAGAAAAGTTTGAATGCATAATGAGGAAAGTAGCATAAATGCCATTCATTGTTGTGTAAATTTGTTTTTTTATCGCAACATAAATTGTGTGTACATGTACTTCTTGCTATTAAGCATAACTGTTGTTTCCTTTTCTCGAGAATATTTTCAATTTCGATCTTCTTCTTTCAATCTTGTTAACAGATGACTCGACTTGACTCGACTCTGATGTGACATGATACTGTCTTGAGATGAACAAAAGTGGATATTGAAAATTTGCCAAAAAAAAAATATTCAATATTATTTCATACAACCTCAAATGGCTTGAACAGCTTAAAGTCAGTCAGAGTTTTCCCTTTTTTCATGCATTTAAGATCCACATTCGATATATTGGTTCAGCTTGAAGCTTTCCTTAAGTTCAATTTTATTTTGTATGTCACAATGAATATTCTATATTCCATTTTGTCATTGTCATTCACATGAACATCTTAACATTCTACTACCTACTATATAAAATGAAAAAATGCTAATGCAGTTAAGCTTTCTTCTTTTTACCCCTAACATATATGCTTTGTGTTTATAGTTTTCGGGCTTTTGTCTGTCAATGTGAGAGACTTTATACTAAATTGGATTAAAAAGTTCTGTACATACAAAATAGTTCTTGACTAGCGTATTAAATGTGGTTATAGAACCGAGCAGCTACTGCAAGTCTAGTACAACTCTTTTTTTGAGTTTTTCCATTTTGCAACTACTTTACAAATTATGTTGATGACTTTCCACTGATTTGTGTGTTGGTCTTACTTTTAAAAACTTAAAATTTTAAAAAAATGCAGTCCCTCAAAACTGTAACTTGAGAAATTTTACACTATTTATTAAAAATCTTATCATTTGAAGCAAACGAGCCATTTTCCTAGTTCATAGATATTTTTTGCTTTCTCCACTGTCAGTCACTCTCTCGCTCTCTGTCTATTTCTCGTATAAGCACACCATATAATAAGGTTGAACATACAGAATTAATCAGGCTTTATTAACCGTGACGGAATGCAAAGGAAGGAAAAAGTGTAGTGTGTCTGTAGTGAATTAAACTTTTTTTTTTCTCACACTCCGTGTCTCTTTTCCATACAATCTTAATTTTCGTAAATAAGCTTTTCTCTTTTTTTTATGTCAAGGGATATTTGCATAATGAACTTTTATATTCATATATTGTACATATTCACAGTACTCATGTGTGCGAAGAGACGATATTAAGTGACATTGCAAGCTAGCTCTAATACCTTTTGGAATGAATATATCTGTGACCATAATCATTGAGTATTATAATGATATGGAATGTCAAGAAGCATCTACCTTGCTTTCAATCTAGTAAAGTGCTAAGAGAAATGCACAATGATTCCACAATTGTGAGTTTTAAATTGGAAAATTGATTTTTTTTTCCTCGAGTGAGCTTATTAGTGGGAATGAAATCTGTTAAATCTGAGATAAGAGAGATGATTTTATTACTGCATTAATTTTAATCCACAACTTCATACTCAAATTATAGACGAACTCACAGAAAACTTGTTGAATTTCAAAAAAGCTAACAATCAATCCACTTAGGAATCAATGCTGCAAATGATTTCAATATCACTCAAGCTGATGTTTGGATCAACAGCTTCAGATTCATGCTGGCATTTTGGTGATGATCTGAGCGAGTCACAAACTTCGTCATGCTCACTTAATCGTTTTACGTAAATCTTCCTGAAATTATCAACTTCTTGATATTCGGGGCTGTCGAGTTGGGCATTATCGGATTTAGGTATGCTTATTCTGTCATAAATGATTCGTCCTCCTCTGCCTACACGTCTACGCAACACACCCACGTCTGTTTTATGAAACTTTTCATGTTCTGTACATTCAGGAATATGATTTTTATCAAATGTGTCGTTACGGATCTAAAAATAAAGAAAAAATCAGCAGCTAACTTTGAATATAAATGGCATAAATTATTACATCATGATATTCACAGCCAGTAAGTCGATTGAACGGAAACATTTCATGCTCGTTAATGTTTATCGGATATTCGTCAGAATCTCCAACTTTAAGCTCGTTACTAAGACTCTTCGTGCTATTTATATCACATCCAATACGATTTTCTTTTAAATCCTTCAATAAAAATTCTGTGTTGGTCTGCACTTCCTTCTCGAGATACGACGAATTAAAAGTTTTCGTATTATATTGATCTTTGAATGTTGCAAAGCGTAACACAAGCAGCTCATGCTTTGTCCTCTCACAAAAAGCATTTGTCTTGTAAAATTTCAAGCATTCTTCTATGCTGTCACGAATGTCCAACATTTTGATATAGTTCTCGTAATCTCTTGATCGATTCTTTCGCAAATGCATTCGTTCGCGACATGCACGGAATGCTATGTATGGATCGAATTTATGCTTAATGCCAGGCTTTAAATCTTCCTTTTTTAAGCTGTGCAACAAATATTTGCCATTTGATTGAATTCGTTTATTCAGCCAGTAATCGTAAGTTGCTTCTGTTCCTATACAAGCACTTCGCTTATTGAAATGTGATGTTATATCCGATATGGATGGAACTGTCTAGATGAATATTATTGAAAGTACTGATGGATATGCTTATAAGCATTAATTTACCTTAGTTTCAGCAGATTTGTTCTCGAGATATTCCATGTATTTCTCAAACTCATCATGTGTAAGCTTTAAAGTCTCTCCAGTCATTTTTAGCCATTCATCATCCTCTGAATCAGCATCATATTCAATTGTTTTCTCATTTACTAAGAGGAATTAGATGTTGTAAGCTTAATAAGATCCATAAACATCCTTAATACTTACATTGGACCATAATTCGTATTTTTGGAGCTGTATAATTTGCTGGATATAATTTCTCGTAAGCTTCTTTGTCAATTTCATCAATCACAGGTACGGGAATTGATGTATTGTTCTTAATAGCATCTTGAAAGTGCTTTTCATGCAGTTCCTCTTTTTCCATAAAGTTTTTTGGGAAACTTGGAATGATTTCTGTTGATTTTGGATCAATTTCCACTTCTTTCTTGTTACTAATCCTCTTATACTTATAGTCATCCATTATTTCAATACTAAATGCAGCACCACAATCGATACTTCGCTTTAATTTCTTCATTTTATGCTTGAATTAATTTTTTTTTTGTTGAAATTTTATTTAAATCGTGTTTTATTCGATGAAATTTTAACGTTCTTTTGAAATTTGAAATGTCTCGAAGTTATTTTCTCTTGAAATAAAATTCAAAAGCTATTTTTAACGGTTTTGTCATGCAAAAGTGACAATGCACAGCAAAAAAGGAGGAAGGAAAGAACAAAAAATTTTGCTTTTTTATCACTTTAAATGCACTTTATTCGCAGTCGAAAATTCTTTCAAGGAATATATTTATGGCAAGCTATTTCCATCGTAATTTAATTTTCCTCCTTTTTATTTCATTCTACACCATTTTTCCATTTCACTTCCTATTCAGCTGTGATTTTGCTCACTTGCATCTATCACCACAATGTGAGAAAATTGTGTCACACTTTGCTGTCTGTTTATTGTATACGCTGAATAATTATGTCTTGGGCTTTTGAGGTTCCCGTAAAAGCTTCGAGGTCACAAAGCACAGTTTTTCACTTAATTTTTCTCGTCATTTCTATTTCTGTTTTTCATTTTTCTTTTCATACAAATGGAAGTGAAAAAAATTATGCCTCAGTGCATTGTTGAGGAGATGGATATTCCATCGGGTATAATTTAGCATCCTTGTTCATCGTTCAACAAAGGAAACCTTGCGGAAACTGCTCAGCTAAAAAAACATCATCTGTAATCTGTCATTAGATGAACAATTATGAAAATTACTTTTATGCTGCAGAGTTGCTAAAATACCGTTAAGAAAATTTTGAATTTTATGATGTAGAAAGTGCGGCAAAATTTAAATTTTTAACTGAAATTGAAAAATTTAAAAATAAAAATAACAGTTGAATTAAAATAAGCATAATAAGCCGTAACAAAACAGTCAGTGCAGCACACCTCTGCAAAAAAGAGTTGTTTGAATACATCATCGTTGCGAAGTAACGACTCTTTTAGATGTCTTTTGTAGTTGCTTAATGACTTACTTTAAAGAGTTTGTTTTAATGCTGTTTCTCTTAATGACGACGAGAACAGCTCCTTTGATGGACGTTTTGTTCAATGTTCACTCTTGGAAAACAGATTTATTGCTCAAAGCTGTTGAGCATGAAATTTTATTTTCTTGAATATAAAATAAAGAGTGGAAGCATTTTAAATAGAAACGAGCACTTTTGCCAGCTTTAGGTAGTTTGCAACATTATTTTCCATCCAACTCAGAATCTCATTCTTAGTAAAAGCTCTAATTAGTAACTTAATCGGACGGAATTGCACGACAACTTTTTTCTTTCTTTTTAAAATAAAAAGTTTTCAATTTCTTTGCACTTCCTTTTTTCCTAGTTGGTACTCTTTTTATTCTTAAAGTGCAAAAATAATGAGCGAAATTTTCTTCAACTTCTCTATCGAGTTGAATGGAAAGAATCTGGTGGTAAAGTGCATCTTAAGGAATACTTTACTTGTTATTTTTACCATCGATGTAATAACGACGAAATCTCCATTGGTGATGATAAAGTTTTCATATTTTTTGGTGGATCGTTTTTAAGTTATGTAACGTTTAAAACTGTTTTTGGCTTAAAGGATGTAAAATACAGTCATTTGGAATTAAAAGAAATAATCAACAATGAATTGGTTTGAATCTCAATTAAAAACTGAATGGGTAGATTTGATAAAGTCAAAGATGTGGAACTGATCAAAACTATGAACATCATTTGCAAACAAATCCTTATTCCGTTTACTTAAGTAATATAAATCTAATGCATTTTTATGGAATCTCTTATCTTTCTTATTTATGTTTTTATTTTAATAAACAATTCTATGGAACTGGAACAGTCAGATTAAGAAACATGCAATTATGATGCATTTAGATCCTTCTTTAAGGAAATTAAGATTGTTTGCCATATTTTACAGTTTGTGGCATTTAATAAACATTTAAATGCACAATTTTCTTTGATGTCTTCTAAACTCTGATTATAAGTTGTTGTCAACTAAAGTCGACTCACACTATTTAAACTATAGTACTAAGTATGAACAGAAAATACTCTCATAAAGCCATGGTGACAATACTGTATATCCTTCAATTCATAACAATGATGAAGAAATGTCCAGACATCCTTCTAAAGATTCTATTTCTGTCCAGACATCTTGAATTTATTGTTGATTCATGATTTTTAATAGATAGGATATCGACACTGAAAAGTGGATATGACATTGCTTCAAGAGCACTCACAATGTTATGAATATTTGATCATGTAAGTTTTTATATTTATTGTCATTTTATTTTATGTTAAGTATGAATACACACTGTGGGGGTCCTCGATTTTAATAATTTTACTTCATTGAAAATTTTAAAATCTGTTTTAAAAAAGAAAGTTTCAAATTTATTTATTTAAAGAAATGTTTGACTTGAATAAGATTTTTCTAGGAACAAATTAGAGCCGAGGACCCCTAAAGCATAAGCTATGAGGTACATACATGAAAAAGGAAATTTATTGCTCATCTTCTCATTCATATAGATATTCCTTTTATGAGCGAATATAACAGAATGGTCGTTATTATCATACATGATATAAAGCATACTCTATATTGCTTTACGTGTATATTTATTAAGGATGGTAAGGCAACTGAACGCTGCACATGTGATGTCATTGTTTGTGAAATTGTCACTTTTTTCCATTGCTTGTGGCAATGTTTGCTTTTAAACTTACCATTCATGATAATAATGCGACACTCATCATATACACATGGTAAGTGACTACTAAGGTGCTTGATGGTGATGTTAAACACATATAAATGATTATTTCTGGTATTTTATTGTACCTATTTCAAAAGTTCATCAATGATGGAAAATCTGATTAGATATTTGATAGGTTTAATGTTTACATGAGTTGTTTGGATAGCTGTGACTGCTGAATAATGACGATAATCTTTCAATTTTGTACAATCAATGCAAAAGTCAATTTTGTGCTTTGAATCAGAGCTCAGTGCGAGAAAAACCTGGCTGCAGCGAGTCCTTAATTAAAAACATAAAACGACATTCCAGCATTCCAAATAAGTCTAAAATTAACACAATACAAGCTTCCAACTACAGGAAGAAATCGCTAACCTACGTCAAAGTAATTTGTGGTGTTTTTTTGGCTATCAAAAGAATGCTCACGTTTTGATGAATATTTTCCTCATCTCCGTTATTGTTTCCTTTTTTTATGGCTACCGCAAGATACACAAATCATTTAGGGCTCGAAACATTGGCTAATATTGGATTTCCCAAACGCCGTTTTCATCAGTATGGTGCTTTTCATAGCACTTCTTTCAATCTAACTCAAAATGAGTAAAAATTTATCATGAAAGATGTTGAATTAAAGAAAAAAAAAGCTGATTACTAAGCATAGAGCATGTACTGCTCAAGAAAAATTTCTTGCAACATTTCTTCATTGGGATTGTTTGGATATGAGGTAATGTTGAATTGAGTTAAACCAAAAATTTTCTATTTAAAATAAGCGATAGCTAAATCAAGTAAATGAGAATAAGGGCGTGGATAGGTTTGCTAGCTGAATTCTGAGATTCCCCCTCCTACCCTATCGAACTTAATAATTGACGACCCCGATCATATTATACGAAAAAAGAAAAGATTCATTGGATAGTTATAATATATTTTTATCACGTCTCACAATGCACGTTGGCTTGTTCAACACCTCGTTTCCTGCCTTTCATTTCTCGATAATCTCATGTGGAAAGGAACATGGTAATGCAGATGTGAAAAATATATAGAATTGAATCGAAAAAAAGAGTGAGAGAAGTCAGAATGAGTTATTTCTTCTACATCAATAACAATAAGAATAATAATAAAATCACTTTCAAAAAATCTAAGTTTTTGTGAATAGATTCATAATGCAGGAGTTTTTCTAATTTAAATCCTTTTATGAATGGAATATTCTGTTTTATATTTTAGACTTGGCGTTTAAATAGACTGGACTAAAACAGCAGTAAACAATGAATGAATTCCATTCATCACTCTGCCGTCTCGATAGGAATTTTACAGATTTAATTCACATGTCGCTTTACTTCGCTCAAAGATGTCTTTACAGTAACGGATCTAATTTGACCTTTCTTTCCTTTATGTAGAATAACAATCCTTCCAATCTTCCACTTCATTGATGGTACATTCGAATCCACGATGAGAACCAAATCATTCAAATAATATTGAACCTTTTTTGTTGAATCTTTTGGTCTTATTTGAGCGTTGATCAAATCCTTATACCAAAACTTCCATATACCAAACGACTGTTCAACGGCCGTCCAATCAAGAAATGGCCAGGTGTAAGAGCTTTAAAATCATTTGGATTATCGCTTACAAATGTAATGGGTCGGGAATTCAAAACTGCTTCAATTCTACATAAGAGAGTTGAGAATTCCTCATAGGTCATTAATCGATCTGTCATAACTCTTTTTAAATGATGCTTCATTTGCTTAATTCCATTTTCCCAAAATCCTCCCATATGAGGTGCTCGAGGTGTAATAAAATGTCATTTTATATTTTTGTCATTGTAATATTCTTGAATATGTTCTTCCAAATCTTGAGCCAATTTCTTGAATTCATTGCCTGCACCTTCAAAACATGTTGCATTGTCTGAGTAGATATCGGTTGGAAGTCCTCTGCGTGATATAAATCTATCGAATGTGCCACTGTTGTCAAATCCGTTAATATGAATTGCCTTTGTAGACATACACTTGAATAATGCGATATAGGACTTCATTGCAGTTGTATTACGAACCTTCCCAGCTTTAATTAATAAAGGTCCAGCATAATCGATAGCTACCTTTTCAAATGCATTTGATTGATTTACCTTTTTTGGAGGTAAATCTCCCATAATTTGTTTACGACACTTAGGATATGCTCGAAAACATTTGATGCACTTACTGATGATTTTATGAATCATCGCTTTTACTTGCACAGGCCAATAAACTTGACTCACAAAAAATAATGTTGAAAGTTTTGTCGAATGCAAATTATCAAGATGAATCTGACGAGTCAAATTATAAACAAATTGACACTTAGGCATGATGATTTGATGCTTGTTTTCAC